GCTGACTTCTTATTTAACATTCTTGAAGTCAGAGACTGTGATCTGTATAAGAATGATTTTTTAAAAATTTACCAAGACTTGCATTAAAGCCTAGTACATGGTCAGTTTGGGGGGTAAATATTCCATATATGCTTGAGAAGAATGTGATTCTCCAATTGGATATAGGATTGTTCATATGTCCATTAAATCAAGCTCACTTTGTTGTTCAACTTGTCTAGATGTTTACTAATTTTTATCTGCTTGTGCTGTTAATAATTGGAACAATAATTTAAAGATGTATATTAACCTCCCATTTTGATAGTCGATTTTTCAATTTCTCTCTCTTGTTCCTTTATATATTTGGAGATATTTTTTTAGTGCATACAGGTTTATTATCTCTATGAAGTGATCTTTTCTATCCTTTATAATGCTTTTATTATCTTGAAGTTTTACTTTTAGATGTTAATGTAGCTACCTCAACTTTCTTTTGGTTGGCATTTACCTGGTATATCTTTTTGCATCTTTTATACTTTCAATCTTTCCTTAACTTATGTTTTAGATGTGTCCCTTACAAATGGCACATAGCTAGATATTTTTCTTTTATCCAGTCTGTTACTATCTATATTTTAAAGGGTGAGTTTGATCATAAGTGAGTTTTATATTCATTGGTATATTTGAACTTGTTTTTTACCATCTTAACTTTTGTTTTGTCTCAGTTTTTTCTATGCTTTTTGTTCTCCTCACCTTTTAACTTTTTTGTTCTCGATCTATTTTCTTATCCCCACTACTGATTCTGCAAGATTCCATCTCAAGCAAGCTGTCTGGAAATAGGGTTAGTGTTGGAGACAGCAGCAACCCATGGTGGAAGGTGGGGCTGGAGGTGGGATATGGCTTTTCTGAAAGGAGTCAGATTGGCAAGTGATAGGGGAAAGGAGGCTGGGAGCTGATAGAGTCCATGTCTGATGGACTTAAAAAAATATTTTTTTTACAAGTATGAGGCAAGGATGTCTGATGGGACTGGAGGGAAGGGAAGTGGGAGTGTGAGATGAGTGAAGGCTTAAAATGGAACCTGAAGGGACTAGGTAAGGGAACTGAACGAATGCAAGTAAGAGGATTTGTGGCTGACAATGAGGGTCCAGCTGAGGTTTTAGACCAGGAATAATGTAGTATCTGGGTATGGCAGTGGACAAAGCAGGCTATAGCATTAGTACAGGTTTGGGATTTTCATGGGCAATTGTGGCAGAGGGATGAAGGTACATGGATATGAAAGGTAGTGGTGAGAGTGGTTCAGATGTTGAGCCATCTGGAATCCAGGGTGAATACGGAAGGAAGATAGATCTCCAGGACGCAAGTGGACCAAGAGAAAATAGAGGGCTCAAGAGACTGTGGTCTTGATGGGTTGAAGAACAGGTATAGTAAGAGTGAGCTATAGTTGGAAAGTGGGGATTCTTGGATTTAAGATTTCAGAAGGGGGAAATTACGGTTGGTCAGGTCCACAAATGAAAAATAAAGGGAAGATGTACAGTGTTAGCAATTCCATTTTCTTATGGTGCTATCTTTATTTTCTCAAGGCTTTTCTTACTCCCAGGCTTTTGATATTCCTTGGTCTCATCATTATGCTAATGTTCCTTTTTCATCACAATACTCTGTTACCTCTCCACAAGCACCAGTTTGCTAATAAATGTGGCATCATTCTCATTTCCAGTGTGCCTGTTCTGTCCTTGGTTTTTAGCTGACAGGCAACTGGTAATACCTATTTTCTCCAGGAGTCACTGATTTTTTGCCCAGTGTTTCATCCATAATCACACATGTGGGAATTCATTTTCACAGTGCTTTTGATTGCTGTGTTCAATATTTTATAATTGCTTGGGTCATGAGCCTGCCTGGACAGAGCCAGTAGAGCACTAGTTCTAGAATCAGCTTGGGATTAAATCCCAGCAACTTCACCTACTTGCTATTTATTCTTGGGCAAGTTAGCCTAACCTCTCCTGAATCCTCATCTATTCAATGGGCGTAATAATAGTCACTCAGTCTTGATGTTGTGAAGATCAAATTAGTTAATACATGTAAACCACTTGTTTGGCATATAGCAAATTCTCAATAAATGGAACTGTTGGGGTGACCATGGCAGTGATGATGATCAACAATATTGGCAGCATATACAACACTATGTACCAGATACTGTGTTAGATGCTGGGCCAGGCACATAGGAGAATATTGAAAAAGTCCTTGTTTTTATAGAGAATATATATTGTCCTTGGGGATAAGAACTAAGAAGACTTCCTCAAGATTATCTAAGAGGAGCTTGTGAAAGAGGCTTAGCATATTATAGTTCAATAAGGCCCAGGAAATAGACAAGTTGAGAAAATATTGAGGTTTTAGAAAGCTGTATTGCTGTGTTGTTTATGCTTTCTACTATCTTATAGGTAATTAGTAAATAAATAAATAAAGGGGCTTATTGTCTAGTTTCAGGGGAAAGCAGAGAAGGTAAGTGTGATCCTTATTTCCTTGTCCATTCTCTATCTACCCTGGGCTCTTCAACTCCATGACTACCAAATCTGTATTTTCAGATACAGTTTTTCTTCCTAAGGTCCAGCCCTGTGTCTTCAACTACTTCCTGGGCCCAATTAACCTGAATATCCAGTATGCAACACAAACTTAATATGATTAAAATGAAACTTTTTGCCTTCCTTCCAAACCTGTTTTCTTTTCTTATATCTCTTATTGCTATGAAGGCTATCACTACCCAGTCAGTTGTTTAACCTAGACATGTCAGCTAGACATCTTTGCCTTCACCTCCTTTATCTATCTACCCAGTCATTTCATTCTGTCCATCCAACTTTTCAAACCTATTCTCTGTTTACTCTTTCTGCCTGGTGCAGGCCTTTATCATTTTAGCAGATTCAGCAAGTATTTGTACTCCAAATATGTGTTCCAAATGTTGGGATTGGCCCTTGAACACACATTACTTAATTTTCTGAACAATCTTTGAGGTAGGTGATTTTGTAGATGAGAAACCAGAGGGTAACAGAAATAAAATGATTTGTCTAATTGTCTAGAGGCACAGTTAGTAAATCTAGGTTGTCTTTTGCCTGGACTGTTATAATAATTGCTCTGCCTCCTTTGTACTGTTTTCTTTTTTGAGATATAAAAGGAAGATACATGTAAAAACACATCAGAACTATATAAAGTAAAAAGTCAAAGATGTCCCTTCCCAGTTCTACTCCCCAAGAGAAACCAATGATAGTGGTTTTTGTTCTAGACTTTTCTCTGTGCATATACAAATGTTTAGATAAATACTTTATAAAAGAGATGGTTATTATCCCACAGCTACTTTTTCTCACTCATGGACGTATTTTCATGTCAGTATGTATGGATCTACCATTTTTTTTGTAGCTGCAGAGTATTCTACTATATGGATACATTATTTTGTTTAATGGTTCCTCTGATTTTTTGTTTTGAGACAGAGTCTCGCTTTGTCACCCCAGCTAGAGTACAGTGGTGTCATCATAGCTCACTGCAACCTCAAACTCCTGGGCTCAAGTGATCCTCCTGCCTCAGCCTCCTGAGCAGCTGGGACTATAGGCAGTGACACCATGTCCAGCTAATTTTTCTATCTTTTGTAGAGACAGGGTCCCTCATGTTGCTCAGGCTGGTCTTGAACTCCTGGCCTCAAGCAATCCTCCTGCCTCAGCTTCCCAAAGTGCTAGGATTACGGGTGTGAGCCATAGTGCTCAGTTTAATGATGCCTCTGTTAAAGAACTCTTTTTTGTTCTTACAAATAATGTTGCAGTAACATTCTTGTGCATATACCCTTGCGTGAGCATTTGTGTGAATATTTCTATGAGGTAGATTCTTAGAAATGTTATTACTTGGTTAAGGAGTATGCCTATTTTAAAATATGTACTACCAAATTGCCCTTAAATTTGTCCTCTGAATCAATCTTTCATACTATAGCTAGACTGATTTTTGTAAAATGAATTTGATCATGTGATTTCCCAGCTTCAAAAAGCAATACCAAAGATGTTTGATCGATTTTTATTGTCTATACAATGAGTTTTAAAATTCTTAATTTTTAAAAGTATTTAAGAGTTATATAATCTGGCCCCAACCTATCTTTCCTACCATTCTCTCCCTACCAACAAATGTGTACTATGTTTAATAAGGCAAAATTCACCTCTTCTGTAAAACCTCATATATATATACAGCTGGCTCTCGCTCTCTCTCTCTTTCTCTCTCCCTTCCTTCTCTATGCAAGATAGAATTAGTTACTTCTTTCTCCAAGTTCCCATAGTACATAATTTATAATCCCTCTGATAGCACTTAGTACATTGTACTTGTATTTGTTTGTCTGTTTTCCCTGCTATTCTTAAGGGCAGGAACTGTGTCTTACTCATCTCTGTATCTCCCAGCACTTGGCACAATGCCTGTCAGAGTAGTGCTTAACAAATGTTCATGAAATGGGGGAAAATATTCTAGAGGTAGTGCTAGTGCAATAAGAACTTTGGGAGGTAGAGTAGGTGGAAGTTTTGAAGTATAGCAGAAAGCTGACTGAATCCCTGGAACGTGGAAGCTGGTTGGGAATGTAGAAATGGGCTGAAACTGGCAGGAGTCCTCATGTGCTTTTCTCCTCCGCTACAGAGACCAGCTGCCTGATTATTTGGGTTAATAGACTTGGGATTTGAGAATATTAAAATATTAAAAATTGGATGATTGAGGGCTCACTTGGTGGAGTGGGAGATTGACTCAGCTGTGCTATGCTCTTTCCAGACTAAGATGCTTATGGTAAAAGACCCAACCCTTTCCCAGACTCATGAATAACTTTTTCTTCTTGAAAAATCAAAGCCTCTTCATTTTTACCGCATGATTCAGGTGGGAGTAGGAATGGTAAATAGGTCAGATACTTCTACTTTGTCTCCTTAGCCTGGCTCAAGGGGAGAAGTAGCCTACTGAAAGGCTCTAGGGCTGTGGGCCTATTGTGGAGTAAATCACCTGTGTGAAATTAGCTCTCTCATTTCAGACAACTCTGGTAGCTCTCCTTGTCTGGTTGCTTTGAAGAAAGAAGAGCAGAAGAAGTAGAAGAAGTCATGTCAGAGATACTGGATCTCTCTTTTCTGTCTGAAGTAGAAAGGGATTTGATCCTCAATGTTCTACAGCGAGATGAGGAGCTCCGGAAAGCAGATGAGAAAAGGATTAGGTAAGAGTCCCAGAAAAATCATGGGATCTCAAGCCTTTGACCAATGATATCTGGGCTTTTTCTTATGTCTTCCAACCAACTTTCAGAGAAACTTGTATATATGACGTTTACCGCTCTTTGTTGGGCCAAGCTGGGCTCTGTGTTTGTTGGTTTCACAGAACCAAATAGTCTTACTGTCTTTACCCCTCAGCCCCTCTCTGTCCAACCCATGCAGATCCTGAATCCACTTGTGCTTCTCTTTTGGGTCTTGGCAGGCGACTGAAGAATGAGTTACTGGAGATAAAAAGGAAAGGGGCCAAGAGGGGCAGCCAACACTATAGTGATCGGACCTGTGCCCGGTGCCAGGAGAGCCTGGGCCGTTTGACTCCCAAGACGAACACTTGTCGGGGTTGCAATCACCTGGTGTGTCGGGACTGCCGCGTTCAGGAAAGCGATGGTATCTGGAGGTGCAAGGTGTGCGCCAAGGAAATGTGAGTGTCGCCTATGGCTGAGTAGAGAGAGGAGATGAGGCCCCAGCTGTTGTGAGAATTTCTTGCCTTAGCTTTTGTTGGTTGTATGGCAAGAGCCATTCTTTATCCATACGTCATTTTCTTTTTTTTTTCCTTCCCAGAGAGCTGAAGAAAGCAACTGGGGACTGGTTTTATGACCAGAAAGTCAATCGCTTTGCTTACCGCACAGGCAGTGAGATAATCAGAATGTCCCTGCGCCGCAAACCTGCAGGTACTGGACCTGTCTAGAGATAGTTCCCTGCTGACCTTAACCTCAGTGATAGATCTTCTGGTGTGGAATCCTAGTGTATTCTGACCGGTGGTGTCTTAACTCCGTGGGCTCAGCCAGTTTGTGAGGAATATAAGAGATTGTATCGCCTCCCCTTCTGCAAATGTGGTGTGTTTCAAGGGAAGATGCTATGAGGATTGTTTCCCTTTTTCCCTCTCATAATCACCACCCTGTCATGCTTTTGTCTGCCTTGAAGTGAATAAAAGAGAGACAGTGGGACAGTCCCTCCTTTATCAGACACAGATGGGTGATGTCTGGCCAGGAAGAAAGATCATTCAGGAGCAGCAGAAGGAGCCCAGGTAAGAAACAAGTGATCATTTAAAGAAATACTAAAATGTCCCTTTAATTCTTTTATTATTCTTTTTACTTTATTCTGTTTATAAAATAATAGATGTTTATTATGGGAAAATTTGGAAAGTACAGAAAAGAGTAAAGAGGGAGGAAAAAAATCCTTCCTAATCCTACTACTCACATGTGAACATTAACATTTTGACATATTTACTTTGTTCTTTATAAGAACAATTTGAAGACAAATAAAAACAATACCTACTCATTAAAAATTTAACCATTTATAGGAAACAAGAAAGAAGAAAGCAATAAATCACCCAAATTCCTATTACCCCAGTTTTCACATTATGTGAAAATCACATTTCTATATATATAAATAGAAGGGTGATTGGATGGATAAACTGAAAAAAATTTGAATATTGTATCATAAATTAAAATCATTCTGTTTAATTTTGCTTGAATTTAAGAGAATAAAACACTAAAAAGGGAGAATTGCTAATCTTCAGACAATTTTTTTAACCATAGAAGATATTAGTCATTAAATTCCTCTAAGCTTAAGAAAACATATGAAAGCCATTGTGCAGTTAGTCACTTATTTAGTGTTATTTTTTTTTTGGTGACAGCCTTATTGAGATATAATTTATGTACCATACCATTCACCCATTTATGGTGTACAATGGAATGGTTTTTATTATATTCACAGAGTTGTGCAACCATCACCTCAATTGATTTTAGAACATTTTCACCACCTTAAGAAGAAACCCTTTACACTTTAGCTATCACCCTGCCCCAACCTCTCCATCCTTCCCCATCCCTAAGCAATTACCAATCTACTTTATATCTCTATATATTTACCTATACTGGATAAATGATGTAAACAGAATCATATAATATATGGTTCTTTATGTCTGGCTTCTTTCACTTAACATAATATTTTCAAGGTTCATCCATGTTGTAGTACTTTATTCCTTTTTATGGCCAAATACTTCATTATATGCATATACCACATTTTATTTATTCATCTGTTGATGGACATTTGGGCTGTTTCCACTTTTTTGGCTGTCAAGAGTAGTACTGCTGTGATCATTCATTATGAGTTTCGCGTGGACATATGTTTTCATTTCTCTAAGGTAAATATCTAGGAGTGGATTTAACGGTCAGTCATTTATTTAAATCTACCTGTTTCAATATTAAACATTATCAGTAGACTCTGCTATGAAAGAGGAAGAGCTTTCTTACACTTCCTCCAAATTATTTCCCCCTATTCCCACTATTTGTTATTCAAATTATTTTTACTTTGTCAGGATTTATAACATTTACATTTTGTTGTACAACCATAAATCATTCGCTTGTTTTACCTGATTTTTTAGTTTTAGTTTCATATTCAAAAGCATTTTATGCTTACAATCAGGCCTTGTACCACGACTTCTCAATTCCTGAATTCTTTACTTTGATTTATTTCTTGGTTGTCTGGATTTCATCATTGAGAATTTCCTTCCAGAAGGGCTTGCGGGTGGTATATTTATTGCATTCTTTCATGTTAAGAACATCTGCCAAGTGCCTTTATATTTGAATGGTATCTTGGCTGGATATTATTAGTATGTTCTTAGGTCACATTTTCTTTCCCTCAGTATGTTGTAGACATTGTTCCATTTTCTTCTGCCACTGAATGTAACTATGAAGAAGTCTGAGGACAACTTGACTCTTGTTTTTCTCCCTTATAGGTAACTCTGTGTGTGTGTGTGTGTGTGTGTGTGTGTGTGAGAGAGAGAGAGAGAGAGAGAGAGAGAGAGAGAGAGAGAGAGAGAGAGAGAGAGAATGAACGTGTGATCAGACTTGCCTAAAATGTTCCTTTTCTTTTTCTTGAAATTTAGTAACTTAACAAGGACGTAACTCAATGATGATCATTCTGTGTCTTTCCCTGATAGTTTTCAGGGATATTGGATCTTCTTATCCTCCATTTCTGCCCTTTTCTTTTACCATCTAATGCAATAGAAAAAGAGAAAGATGAAAGCAATTAACCATGATTAGCCCAACTCATTCCTCCATGCTAATTGTTTGTTTTTCAGCCATTTTCTTTCTTCTCTTCCCTGCCCTCTCCTCCTCACCCCCCTTCCTCCTTACCTTCCTTACTTTTTGCTATTTCCAATTTAATCATTTGAATAAATTATCTTATTTTGGTTTTAATTTGTTCTTTGCTCTAATCTTTTTTCTCTTATTTCATTATTTTATCATCTTGTGTTTGAACTCTTGTGCTGTTTTGAATCCGTATTCTTATTAAGTACCCTTATAGTATAAAGCACTCAGAAGAAACCTACTTATTTTCCTAGGATTCTAGTCTTCTCCACACTGGGCTCTTCGTCCATCCTGTAAATTGTTTCCATCTCTCCCCACTTCATGGGTATTTATATATCTGCCAGATGATTTAATTTCATTTCACTCATGTTTAACATGGGATGTTTTTTCTATATCTTTGTTTGCTCTGATATAGTATATGTGAATTCTTTTAGACAGGCTTCTCACCTCAACTTGAAACAATTTATCTATTTCCCACACCCAGCTATACTTAAGTTTAAGTGCTGAATATTGCTTTCCATATATTTCTTTTCTTGTAACCTAAGGGGAGGCGTGGAAGGCAACTTGGAGTCCTGGGTTTTTGTCTCTTGAAATTCTCTTAAATGTCCTGGTCTAGGGCTTACTTGTCCCAGCTCTAGGTGAATCCTCTAGTTTATACCAGCACCCTGGGAGATGACATTCTCCAGCAGTCTTGTCTGCCTCTTTTGAGGTCCCACAGGTGGTACCTGGAGTTACAAATTTTGAGGGATTTTGTTTTTCTTGACTTACCCCAGGACCGCCTACTCATTCGCTTAATCTACACATTGCCACATTGGAAGGGATTAGTTAAGGAGCTTCACTGAGCTAAATCTTCTGTTTTCTTAGCTATGATTTTTTTGAACTTTACGACTTGAGGCTTAATTTTTTCCTCATTTGGTTTCTGCTACTGAATTTTTGGCTTTGTGCATGCATGCATGTGTGTGTCTGTGTGGGTGCACTCACTTTCCCCCCTAACTTTCTCTCAACCAAAGGGAAATGACTATCATGTTTTATATGGTTGTTGAAAAACAATATAGAAATATATAAAGTATGCCCTCCAGTAACTTCATTGCCTCTGCTCTAGACAATTATTGGTAATAGTTGTTAATAGTTTTGGTATATGGACTGCCAAACTGTCTAAATGTACACATATGGGTTGGATTCCTAAATTTTTAATTTCTTTCTAAAAAGGATCATACTGTATATATGTTAAGTGAAAAAAAATAAAAGACAAATTACTTTAAAAACTCAATAATACAGACAATCCCATAGATGATGAGCAAAAGATTTAAATAGACATTTCACCAAAGATACTATACAGATGTCAAATAAACACTTGAAAAGATGCTCAAAATCATCAGTTATTAAAGAAATGCAAATTAAAGTCACAATAAGATATTACCATATGCTTACTAGAATGGCTAAAATTAAAAAGACTGACCATATCAATTGTTGGTAAGGATGTAGAACAACTGGAATTCTCATACACTGCTGGTGGGAATGTACAGTGGTGCAGCCACTTGGAAAAAGAGTTTAGCAGTGTCTTAAAAAGTTCGGTATGCACCTACCTACCTTGGGATTCAGTCATTCCATTTCTAGGTATTTACTTAAGAGAAGTGAAAGCATATTTCCATACAAAGACTTGTACACGAATGTTTGTAGCAGCTTTATTTGTAATAGACAAAACCTGGAAACAGCCCAAATGTCCAACAACAGGTGAGTGGATAAACTGTGGTTTGTTTATACAGTGGAATACTACTTAGCAATGGAAAGGAATGAACTATTGATACATGCAACAATGTGACTGAATCTCAAAATAATTATGCTGAGTGAAAGAAGCCAAACAAAAAGGAATATATACTATATGATTCTGTTTTTATAAAATTCTAGAAAATGGAAACTAGTTTTTATTGGCAGAAGCAGATCAGCACTTGCCTGGGGACAGGGGCAAGGAGGAAGGAAGGAATTGGAAAGGAACAGGAGGAAACTTTTGGAAATGATAGATATGTTCATTAACTTAATTGTGGTGATGGTTTCACAGGTGTATACATATATCAGAACTCCTCAGGTTGCACACTTAAACATGTACACTTAATGTCAGTTATAACTCAAGGTGTAAAAGAAAAAAATTGTAGAAAAATATAACATGGACATCTTTCTTTGTCAGCACCAAGGGTCTGCTTCATTCTTTTTGATATGCATATGGTATTTCATCATATGTATGTACTGTGATTTTATCCACACAGCCTTGGGTGGGTGACTCATCTGTTCCAGGTGATGAGGCCCCCTTTATTCTTTGTGGATAAGAATAAGAATGGCTTTTATTTGCTGAACCTGATTAACACATCTGACATCATCAATCAGAATGTAATTGCTAAAACCTACTGCTTCTGGCTGTATGTGACCTCTTGTCTCATTGGACCCAGAAGACTCTTATTTATCCTAAACATGGAAACAGATTAAGTGACCATAAATGATCTTTTCCATAAAATTATGGAGCCTCAGAGATAATTTAATTCAACCCCCTTATTTTTACAGAAAAGAAAGCAGGATAAGTGATTTACCTGAGATCATACAGATAGAGCCCAGGGCTCCCATCTCTTAGTCTATTTTTTACTGCACAGATGTCAAATAATGGCTTTTTTGTCCTAAGGGTGTTTATATCAGCTCTGGATCAGCACGTATTAATCTTTAGGAAAAAAATACAAGCGAAAAACACTCTCCATGGGCCATCGTTAAAACTGCCTCTCTAGAGGAATGGTTCCACTTGCGGTTCTTTCTTCTTTGGAGCAGAGGAAGGAAACAAATGATTCTAAAGTAGAAAAAAAAAATGAAATAAAGCCCCCTGCTGTGTCTTGTACTATAAAGCTAATAGTCTCTCAAGGAATGACCGCCATCTCACCTCTCACATGTCCTGGGATTTCACCCCTGCTGTTTTCACAAAACTATCTCAAACATCATGTGGCAACTTGGAAAGTTTATTATTTACTGCCTAAGACATTATAGATTTTGGTTACCTCATTCTTTGTTCATTTATTAGTTTTTTTGTTTGACAAATATTTAGGAATGCCTATAATGTACCTGGCATTGTTTTAGGCCCTGGGGTACACTGGTGAATACAAAAAGGTCCCTTGCTTGTGGGACTTAGATTTGGGGGATGAGGGACACAGAAAATAAATGATCAAGTAAATATATAATATGTTAGATGTTGAAAGTGCTATGGAGAAAATTAAGTAGACCTAAGATATAGGGAATGCCAGGAAGGCATGTGTGTATATATGTTGTTTTCTTTAGGATAGCCAGGATAAGTCTTTATAATAAGGTGACATTTGAGCAAAGACATGAAGCAAATGAAGGAGCAAACCCTGAGGGTACCTGGGGAAATAGCACTGTAGGCAGAGAAAGCAGCAGGTATAAAGGTGAGTTTGTGTTTGGCACTTTTGAGTAATCTGGAACTGAGGGAGCAAGGAGGGATGAGGGGAGATGAGCACAGAGATGGGGTGAGAAGCAGATCATGTAAGACTTTGGTGGCACTTGTAAGGACTCTCTTTTACACTGAGTGAGAAGGATGGCTCTGAACAATACAATCTTATCTTTTCTTCTTTTTAAAAATTGAGGTAAAATTCACATAGCATACAATCATCATTTTAACAATTTTAAAGTGTACAATTCTGTGGCCATTAGTACTTTCAGAACATTGTGCAGCCATCACCACTATCTGATTTCAGAACATTTTCATCATCTCCAAAAGACACCCTACCCATTAAGCAGTCAATGTCCATTTCTCCCAGCCCCTAATCTGCTTTCTGTCTCTTTGGATTTGCCTATTCTGCATTTCATATAAATGCAGTCATACAATATGTGGCCTTTTGTGTCTGGCTTCTTTCACTTAATATAATGTTTTCAAGGTTCAACCATGTTGCAGCGTGTGTTAATATCAGAACTTAAATCCCTTCAATGGATGAATAATATTCCATTATATGGATATACCACATTTTGTTTATCTAGTCATCCACCGATGGGCATTTGGGTTATTTCCACCTTTTGGCTATTAGGAATAATGGTGCTATGAACATTCATGTAGAAGTTTTTGTGTGGACATATGTTTTTCAGTTCTCTTGGATATGTACATAGGAGTGGAATTGCTGGGTCATATGGTAATTCTATGTCTGCTTTATATTTTAAAGGCTCATTGTGGCTGTTGTGTTGTGGATAGATTGTATGGGGACTAGGAAAGGAGCAGGGAGATTTCTTAGGAGGCTATTGCTATCATCCAGGAGCTAGATGATGGACCAAAGTAATGACAGCAGAGGGGGTGAGAGTGGATCGGATTTTAGATATACATTGAAGTTAGAGCCAAGAGGATTTGCTGACAGATTTAATTTGTATTGTGAGAGAAAAGAGAGGAGTCAAGGATGATTTTTAAGATTTTTTTACCTGAGAAATGAAAGGGGAAGGAGTTGCCATTTGATGAGATTGAGGGAAGAGCAGGTTTAGGGGAGGATTAGGGCTTTGGTTTTGGGCTTGCTGTTTGACACATCCAAGTGGAAACACCAAGTAGGCCATTGGAAAAACAAGTTTGAGTAAGAGATAAATTTGAGTTATTAGTTTATAGAGGATATTTAAAGACATGAGACTAGATGAGATCATTGAGGGATAATTCTAGAAAGAGAAGAGAGGCAGCCCAAGGAAGAAGCCCAGAGATAATCCAGAGATTAGACGTCTGGGAGAAGAGGAGGGACCAGCAAAGGAGACAGAGAAGGAGCAGCCAGTGAGGTTGGAGGAGGAAACCAGGAGAATGTGGTATCCCCAGGAGTCAAGGGAAATTACTTGAAATACTTTGGGAAGAATAATTTTTTTCCTTTTCCTGCTACTGTCACTAATTCTTTGAGGTAAGGGGCCCAGGAACAGTGTCCTTCCCTTTAGACATGAAGACTGCCATTTTGAACGCCCAGGTTTATCCTTCATTAAGGCGATTAAGCTGAAAAGAATTCTGGTTTTTCTGAATACTATCTTCCAGACATACTGCTTATTTACGGATACACTTAAGCCCCACTGAGGGCATTTATGCAAGAATTCAGTCACCAAATATTTCAGTGCCTACTCTATGCTAGTTTCTCTTCTAGGCATTGGGAACACAGCAGTGAACAAGCTATGTGGTCACTGATCTCATGGAACTTATCTAATGGAGGCAAAAGACATTAAATAAATCATTTGCTTAAATTATTGAACAAATAAAATAATTTGTTTAAAAGCCATAAACAAATAGTTACATATGCGATGGCTGCTACCAAGAAATCAGGATGCATTTTTTTTTTTTTTTAACAGAGTCTCACTCTCTTGCCTGGGCCAGAGTGCCGTGGCGTCAGCCTAGCTCACAGCAACCTCAAAGTCCTGGGCTCAAGGGATCCTCCTGCCTCAGCCTCCTGGGTAGCTGGGACTACAGGCACGCGCCAACATGCCCGGCTAATTTTTTCTGTTTTTAGTTGTTTGGCTAATTTCTTTCTATTTATAGTAGAGATGGGGTCTCGCTCTTGCTTAGGGTGGTCTCGAACTCTTGAGCTCAAGCAATCCTCCTGCCTTGGCTTCCCGGAGTGCTAGGATTACAGGCGTGAGCCACGCGCCCAGCCAAAATCAGGATGCTTTGGGAGCATATAGGAAGGCTCCTAATCCAGAGTTGGGGTGGGAGCGTGGTCAGAGAGGTCTGGAGGAATCCTGAAGGAGGAGTGGATTTAGCCAGGTGAGGAAAAGTGACTATTGTGAAGATAACATCCCAGGCAGAGAAAAGAGAGAAGAGGGAGAGCTTTAGGATATTCAGGGAACCAAAAGAACTCCATCCTTCTGAAATGTAAAGTATGAGGAGGCATGGAGGGTGAAGGATGAGTCTGGGGAGCTGAGCAGGGGCCAAATCATAAGGATTTTCTTGTTAAAGAGTTTGAACTCAATCCCAACAGCAATGGGGAATCTCTGAAGAGTTTTAAAAGTGTACTCAGCTGGGCACAGTGGTACGCACCTGTAGTCCCAGTTACTCAGAAGGCTAAGGCGGGAGGATCGCTTGAGCCCGGAAGTTCTAGGCTATAGTATGCTATGATCGCACCTGCTATGATCGCACTACAGCCTGGGCAACATAGCAAGACCCATCTCTAAAAATAAATAAATAAATACTTTTTTTTTTTTAAAAAGTGTACTCTATTTTAGAAAGCTCACTGAGACTACCATTGTGAGTTGATAGGAAGGAGGCCTAACTAGAGGCAGGAGAGCCCACTTCCTTTAAATTGTTGGTTCTTGGTTTTTATCCTAGTGTGCCGTTCGAAGTGCCAAAGCTGAAAAGTGGAAAGAGTGCACTGGAGGCTGAGAGTGAGAGTCTGGATAGTTTCACAGCCGACTCCGATAGCACCTCCAGGTGAGGTTCCCCGCATTTCCCTCACCTCCGCTCAACCCGAGTTCCCGTTTTGTTTTCTAGCATCAGGATGCAGGGCTTCTATGTCTTCAGTGTTCCTGTCCTCAGAAATTTCTGTCCTCAGAAAATTGAACGAAGTATTTTCTCTGACCTCATCAGAAGTCATTCCGTAGCACTGCTACTGATTTGACTCTGAGCGCAGAGCATGTTAACTTCCCCAGGCTGCTGCACCTTGGAGGATTCATCCTAGTCCAGCAGCCCCTTAGGAATGGGGGTGTGAGTGTTTGTGTTTGTGCAAAGTTGTCTATCTGATCTTCTGCATTTCTTCAAGGTAAATCAGATGTGAAGTGTATCTTCTAGGTTTGGTTACTACGATGATCCTAAGCCAGTGGCTCTCCTTCTGTAGAGCTTTGGTCCCTGGGTAGAAGGGGAAGGGGAGGAGGTGGCATAGTTATAACTTTTGAATCTACCTCCAGGAGAGACTCTCTGGATAAATCTGGCCTCTTTCCAGAATGGAAGAAGATGTCTGCCCCCAAATCTCAAGGAGAAAAGGTAAGCTTCAGGTTAGTGGTCAGTCTGCCTGCCTGCGTGTCTTCCTTCCCTCCTTCCCTTCCTTCCCTTCCTTTCCTTTCTTTCCTTCCTTTCCTTCCTTTCCTCCCTTTCCTCCCTTCTCTTCTCTCTCCTCTCCCCCTTCTCTCTCTCGCTTCCTTTCTTTTCTTTTCTTTTTTCCTTCCTTCCTAGGCAGAATTTATTTATTTTT